AACCGCTCTGGACCTTACATTTTTGGGGATATCTCAGTTCCTTTCGCAAGGCAGCAGACGTATAAACACGAGTATTTATTCTGGTTTTCCTTTCTCTCAGCTGGAAGAAACTGAGTTGCTGCTCCCAGCTCCAGGGAACACTCACAGGTGAATACTGCACTTCTGGAAAGTTTGAGTAACCCCAAGCTAAAGCAGCTCTTCCAGGAAGGCATCTTGTACTCAGAAAAGCACTGAAAAATGAAGGATCCAGCCTATTTCTTCATAGTTTGTTCCAGTGATTAAGTCACTGTACTTTTACAAATGCCATGTTGTTTTAAATTTGAATTTCTCTGACTTCTATTTCCATCGACTGGTTTATGCCTTTCTCTGTTAAAGTACCCTTTTTTTCCTGCTTTCTTCCTGAGGAGGTTCTGATACACCACAACCAGATTTTCTATCAATCAATCAGCTTTCTTTTCAATAAACTAACACTGGGAGATTTTGAAAACTTAACCAGCAGTGCCAGCCCTCAATAATCCCTTTTTCTCTTTTCAGTACTCCATTTTTTCCTTTTAAGATTGCCAATTGTACATCATGAGTGTCAGCCTCACCAGTGCGGCATACAAAGCTACGAACAGTGTTATGCTCGTCTCTGTTCATACATATTCAAAGATCCCACAAAAGCTTTTCACTATGATTTCCAGTGTCATTGCTTTCCAGGGAATTAAGTGTTGCTTTTGCCCTCTGCACTAAATGTGAAAACTCAGCTTTGCACTGACTTTGTACACAGGCAGCTGATGGGAGCCAGCCAACGCAAGAGGCCAGGTTGCTCTGCCCTTGTCGGTATTCACCCACAGGCTGCCAGCCGCAGATTTTATCAGCAGCAACTCGATACTTTACCTCCTGATCAATGATTGAGAGAATGGATAACCTCTTCCCTAGTAATTCCAACAAAAAGAAATCAGCAGGGATTTCTTAGAGGGGAATTTTTTATGATCTACTACTAAATCACTTCACTAGTTGTAACAGAACATTTTTAAGAATCATACTGTTAGGAGGAAAGCACCACTGTGAATGTGAAATACACTTAAGTGAGATTAAGCCTTTTCTCATTCCAAGCAGATGCTGATTAACCTATTCATTACCATAAACCGATGAAGTGTAAATTATTGATGAGGAAAGGAAAGTGTTTTGCTTCATTTTGGGCTCCAGTAATTACAAATTTGGCCTTGCAACCACAGCTGTTTCTTGTAGAAACTGAATAGCTGAGAAAAACAGGCCAAATAGAACACAATTCTGATTTAAACTGCAAATATTTAGAAATTTAAAGAGCCAGGAGGTAAAAGCATTGGATATTCTTCATTCATTGCTCCAGCGAAAACTCAGTCACTAAGTAAGTTAGAGCCAAATTATCAAGGTACCACAATCACTATAATTAAACATATTCCATTACGTGAATGAAGAGATGAGGACATGGGATAGGTAGTGCAGAGCTGTCACCCCAAAGGTCCTTCCAGAGAGAAGAACTGAGAAGTAGCAATAATTTTTTAATAGCACTGATGGATTTATACAGTCTTCAGACATACTTGTTCTCCAAGTGATAAAGTTCCGTACTGAAATGTTATGGCAGTAAACAAGAATTAAGAAGAATGGGAAAAAGAATAGAAGAAGAAGAAAAAAAAAATTAAAAACCTGCAATGGCAAAATAGTAAGGTTCTAAGATGTCAGTTTGACATCTCAGCAGAATTTCTTGGTGATGTTACTGTTTTATAACATTTTTTGACTGGACTCTCTCAATATGGAGAAGTATTCATGGGGAAATAATTATCAAATAAATTAGAATCTAAGCAGTTTCAGTTCATTGTGTGCTTGAGACCCCCAGGGCCCGACTAAGGGAGAGGCTAAACTCATTTTTCCCTGTTGGTCTTTCACTGACAGCAGTAGGACCGTTCAATTCACTGTCACATAGAATTTGGATTAGTGCCCATCTAGAGCTATACCGATTTACTCTAGCTGTTATCTGACCCATTATTTCAATGTCACTTTACAAACTGATTTTAGTTTTTTACAGGCTTGTCTACAAAAAGACCATGCTGAATTTGCTACTACAGTATATCTATAGGGCTGCCATCTAAAAAAATTGTATGCTCACAGCTGAGGTAATTCACATCCATCCTAAATTGTCACTTCTTGGCTATGTAGTTCTGGGTGCTGTTTGAAGAAAAAGTAGTTAACGCATCTGTCTGTCCGTATATGCTCTAGGTATGGAACCTCTAACAGCACAGACCATCTTATTTTTCAGTGTGCGAAAAAAACCTGGACAGGACAATAATGTTCTGGCTGAATCCTGAGCGTTACCCATTGTTTTCAATACTCAACCAAATGAGTAGAAACTGAGATTGTGCAGAGGGCAGTTTGCAAAACTCCAACTGAAGCTGCCAAAAAAGAAACTTCAAAGTCCCCCTCCTGATCCTCTCTGTTATAGACGCTCGTGCTCAAATCAAATTGAGAAGCCAATTTCTCATTAATCAAAGTGAATTTATTAGGAACCGATAAAAGAGCAAAACAGCGCTGGGCGACCGGGGAGTCAGTGCTCTGCCAACGGTTCGCACCAATAACAGATGCAACCCCTCTTTTTATGGAGTTCCCATTTCCTGCATACGTGACTTTTGGTATTCTCTGCGTTGTGTTTGCGCTTGCGCGACTAGTTGCTAGGTGGTCGTTGGGATGAAGGCCGAAGTCTTTCTCAGGCGTCCTGCTGTCTGCTCATTCATCCCCCAAGCCATTCCTTTGCTGATGAGCAGATGGGCCATTCCCTTACTTATTGTTCACTCCTCCGGATGTCTTCGGCTCCAGCTTAAGTTGCAAAAGAAACTCTAACACCCACATGCGATTTCACGAACAAAGTTAATCCACTCATCACAGGGCTTCTCCTCTTTCTCCATCAGCCGGTTTGAGAACAAATTTTATATGTATACATTTATTACACTCTCCCTTCCTCAACTGTATTTTTGCAGGTACTTATAGGCCAGGCTCATGGTGCAGTTCAAAGTAGGAGAATTTAAAATGTATCATCTTGAGAGACTTATGGTGGCAAATTACCGTATCACACTCCAATTTCAAAAGACCCCAAAGACCCACATAATTAAAAATTACCAGTAATACGGGCAAAGCTAGAGAACAGTAGTCCTTGGTCAGAATAGTGACTCTTTTTCATTAAAGTGAATGTGAAGCGAGAATTATTGACAATAGACATGACTGCCTTTTTTGTCAGAAGACTTCATCCTCCTGTGAATCACCGAGTGAGTATTTGCAACACTCGTCAGAGTTCAAACCACTCGCTCTCTAGCAAAGACGTACCGAGAGGAAGGCCACCAGCGGTGTCACAGAGTCGTAACTTCATCACGCTGACCAGCTGCTCAGGGAACACTAGAAAGGATATACTCAGTAGTGTGTCATATCTCATTTTCCACAGAGCTTCTCTCCCCATCTACATTTCTAGTTAACATCCTTGTTAATCACGCTTCTTTTTTGCAAATCTGAGCAAGTTTGCACAACTGTATAAAATTATAGATTATTAAAAACTGGAATAGGTGACACCACATTACAGTGAATACACAGAGAGAAGAGCCTTAGAACCACGAGTCCACAAAATTTTTTATTAAAATAACACCAAGTTTAAGAAATCAATGCAGTGCAAAGAAACTTCAACTCATCATACAAAAAAGCATTCCAATCCTGACATGACTGACATAATACAGAAATGGAAACACTGTATCCCAGATGAACGTCCAAGTTAAAGACTGGCATGCTGGGCAAGGAAGGTTCTTATTCTTTGCAGGAGTTCTTTCTTTACACTGTCTGGTACCAGGGCTGAAACACAAACAAGAAAACAAGCAGTGAAAAAGGCAAAATGGAAAATATGCTGATACCAGCCTTTTACAACAGCTACTTCTATTCTTTGTTTGTTCTTGCAATTCTGTTAGTACCTAAAGTAACTGAAGCTACTTGATTTTCATGTAGCATATCTACAATTCTCCTGTTTGCAACAGGCTAAAATTGAAGTCTGTTGAAAACACTGTTGTTATTGGTAGTTTTCTGCCTAGCCACAGCCAGGAAAATTGGAAAGTTTCAGGGAAAGGATTATTCAACAGTAAACAGGATGTAATAATCAGAAACTAGTTTGATAATCGTACTTTTCACAAATTTAAGACAAAAAAAAATATCTCAGCCATGACCTTAGAGTAAGGGTCTTCAGCAATTTATTTTGAAGGCCTATTTTTATTTAAGACTTAATGAAGTTTCTCCCACTAACACCAAAGTCTGTTCGAGAGTCCAAGAACGACACAAAGACGACTGCAGTATTTCCTTAAGAGATTTGATTTTCCTGACTCTGTATGCTATGTCCTTTCCTTTTCCCACTTCCCATTACACTTGTACTGTCAGTTCAGATTTCCCATCTTACAAAGATTTGGAATTTTAAAACCTCTCACACCCCAAGTTTTCTTGGTACCATTAAGTCAATTATAAAGATGAATACAGACTCATGACTAAATAACTCAACCTGCAAAACTAGTCTACACACACAGCTCGTCACAGATTTTGAATGGCTGTTACGCTATACAAATTCATGTGGTTTATTTGTAGTTAATATCAAGCTGTTAACATTTTTCCTTGAATCCAACACAGGCAAGTTCATAGTGCTGCTTTCAAAATATTAATGAAACACAGGTAGGTATGTTTGTTGCTGTACTATCACATCTGTGTTTGCATTTTCTTACCTCTGCCTTTCGGAGTGATTTCTGCCACCAAATCATCAACAGTAACATGTTCTAATCCTTTTTCTTTAATGACATCTAGGGAAGACCAAGACAGGTATTTTTAGTCTTTTAATTCATTCATTAGAAGACAAAACCTGTATGCATAGGTCATCTGAGAAGATGAAGTAGCTTGTGACCTAAACGGAGGTTAACCACTCAGTACCTACACTGCATTGTACAATGGATTTAGTCTCTCATTCATACCATAGGTTTAAGGATGGGAACCATACTGCACTGCTGATGCATCTTGATCAGCTTGTGTATCAAAATGAAACGTTACCAAATTTAAGCCTATCTGAGTGTTACCAGATGTGCATATTACTGGAGTGTTGTAGCAGTTCACAAGTTGGTCTGATTATCTCTTCAAACATGTTATTTACATAATAGTGAGAAAGAGATGCAATTGGAACATACAACAAAGGAGAGCACAGAGACAGTAAATACTACTCTTCCCAACTGGTTTAAATAACATCTCTCTGTATTTCAGCAAAGTAAAAAAGCATATCTGAAAAAAAGGTATACATCTACAGCAAAATAAAAGCTATGATTAAGATATACTGTATGATTAATACATACCAGTATTTAAACAAATTGTCCTGTTATAGTGCCTTGAAGGCTACTGAAAAATGCAGAAGTCAATGCTAAGAAGAAACCTCAATTCAGCAGCATACACCTGAAGGATTTTGTCTTTACATGAATGTTTTTAACTATACGTCAGTACATACGATTAATTGTTGCCAAGACACTAAATATGTTTTCTGAACTGACATCACATGGACTATTTGTAAACTGTTTTTCTCGGCTGCCTTCCCTGCAGAAATTAATCCTCAATTATTGGCCCTAATCCACCATGGCAAGAGGCTCTACAACAAGCTACCAACACCCCGCCAGAGGCTCATCTGCTTGTTTTCTCTTATCTGAGTAGATGATCTTGTTTTCAAGAATTGTATTCAGAAAGAGTATGCACTTCTTTCTGTCCCATACGCAGACAACAAAGTTCTCTAAAATTTCTAAGTGGCATACCACTGTATTTGCTCCATTTTCCATTATCTCGGTTTTTATTCTCCTGTGGCAAGGAAGTGATCTCTCTCAAAACAATAAGCTGTTATCATGATGAATATTTAGGGAACCAATTCCCATACTTTTCTCAGAAGCTTAACAAGTTTCAGATCAGAGAATAAGATTATTTTTTTTTTTTTTTTTTTTTTCATGCTTTCCTTTTGCCCAAGTCTCATTTAAATTGACTAGTAAAGCTTTCATCTGGGACTTTTATTTGGCCAGACCCTCAGCTGGCTGCAAAGTATATTAGTTATTTGACCACCGTTACCTTTGCAGTGTGCCTTCAACTGATCCTTCCAGCCACATTCAATCAATTTGGCTCTCAGCAACTCTTTAAGGCTGTTAAGACAATAAACAAACTTGTTAGGAACAGCAAACATTCCTGACAGCTTAAATATGCTTCAGTGTGAAAGTTAAGGTTACAATTCCTACTCACAGCAGAACTCCCAGACCAGCAGCAGAAAAGGCTGAGCAGTGTGGGAACCCTAACCCAAATGAGTACCCATTTCAGTTTACCATGTTGGACTACAAGGGGTTGGCACCTCAGGAGCTAATTCACAGTATTTCTTCAGGCAGCGTTGATGCTGCAGCCACAGAAAAGAGCCCTTGAATCACTTGAACTGCCTGTGTCTACTCTGTTAGCAAATGTATGCTAACTTTCAAAGTCAGAATATTTCACATGAAACCAGGCCTTCAAAATAAGTAACACCTTTCCCCCCCCCCTTTCTGAAATGAGAATTCTGTACTACTGTCTTCACCTGCAGGTTTCTCTCCCCAGTTATACTATACCTCGTGTTGGGTGAAGACAAAGGGATCATGTATCTTATCCTTCTATGTGTGGTTAGCAATTACAAGTATAAGCAACAAAGATTCAGATATTAAACAGAGAAGACATCCAACAATCTGCCACAATGATACATCTATGACATATATCAGAATATTGAAAGACAGTTAAAAAAGTGAAAATTGGTACTGAAAAACACAAGAAGGGAAAATGAAAGTACGACATGATAAAATAAGCTTTAATATCTCCATAGCAAGCCTACTTATTTTGTACCATCTGAAATAACTCTAGCAAAATTCTGGTTTTATGAATGAAGGGACCGTAGCAAGAGGCTGAATTGTGTTGGTCTAGTCCCTTTTACTCAGTGACCTGTGAAGAGAGCAGATGAACTGACGACAAAAAAAGTACAGTAACAACACAGGTAAAATTCACTGCTTCTGGATATTTCTTAACTCAAGAAATCCGAGTGCTCTGTCTCTGATCATAGTACGGGTCTGATAAAGCTTGTTTATAATACAGTTTATGACATCCTGTCAAAATTCTTCCTACTCTTAGAGTAAAATAGGTCCCAATACCATTTCAAGTAACTGCTTGGTCTGCTGAAGCTCTGTGCCATCTCCAAGGGGACGCTCACAACCAGGAAAGAAGCAGAGCACAGACGTGGTGTCAGTCTACAAAAGGTTACACTAGGCCCAGGGCTACGTGATGACCTAGGGAGACAATTCCTTCTCATACAGGCCTCGAAAAATGAAGGAAATAAAGCTTTCGGTGCATGGTGCTACAAATACAGTGAAATGATGAGGAGCGAAACGTCATAAGCATGCCAGTGATATGCAAATACAATGCAAACAGAACAGACTGAAGAGACAACAAAAGGCCAAAACTAGCTGCCACGCTACACTGTGTAATTTACTTATCTGCCTTTATTGGGATCTCTACAATGGCTTGCACAAGTGCACTTTAATGTGTTCCACTGTACATTCCGTTCCCTAACAAGGGAAGAGATCAAAGCACAAGAGAAACTTACTAGCAAAGTTTTATCTCCTTCTCTTTATCAGGAAATAGCAAGGTTTAACTGCAAGAAATTGCATTTAGTGGTCACTTTTATATGAACCATGAGCCTTCCCACACAAAACACTGGAATAAGAATAAGCTTTAGAGTTCATAAGCCAACGACCCCACCCTTTATTTCTGCAGCTTTCCAAGTGCAAAACGACAATAAAACTGTTCAAAGGCAAAAATAAGGTCGGTTTTTTTTCATACAGCTTTATATAATAAGGAAGACTTTCATGTGCAGACATTTGAAGAATATGGAGTTAAGTTTATGCAATCCTTACATCCAGGTACAGTTCATGTCTGACACCATTTAAAGCCCCTCGCTGGCAGGGAGCGGGAAGCCTGCTTACCGTTCTCGCTCTCCTGTCTCTATCAGCTTCTGGTTAATGGTCGCTCTCATCTGGGCATCTTTGTTCATTTTGGAAACGGAGCCGTTCCACAGACCTGCACGGGGCGGGGAAGAGTTCGGGCAAACGCCGGCCTCACCAACGCAACGCAA